TGTCACTCCTGTACCATACAACTTCACTGAACCACCAGATAAACTGGTGGGGAACTCCAGTTTCTTAAGCCTGCTGCTATATTCAGCTATGACAAACCAAAACATGGCAATGTCACCACTGCTGGGCACAGAGCTTCGCTGCTGCTGAAGGCTGGGGCTCCCCTGCAAACAGAGCCCCTTGCCCTGGGACCCAGCGATGACCACAGAGCGCCAGAGCCGACCTGGAACCTTATTCAGACAGGACACAAGGTTTCTTGCCCTGTAGTAAAAGGAGAGCACATAAATTTGTGCTGCTGTTCCAAAGTCTGAGCCAGCTCTTTCTACTGAATTCCTTAAAAGTGGAATAGGGTCTTCCATGAGTTGAATTCCTAGATTTTCCTTCAGAACTGCTATCTTTCTCTATTGAAACAGATGGGAGAAAAAAGTTCCTTCACGTTTGTTTCATGTGTTCTTTAAACTTCAGAGTTACTGATTAAAAGGGTCATCATAAGTTCTCCAACAGCTTAAAACAGTCTTGAAAGATGTATCTTCATTAACAGCAAATTTCAGCACTAAACCATTAGAAACTGAAAAGAACTTCTGGAAAAATAAAGTCCAGACAATTGCTTCAAGAGCCAGTTATGATTCTTCTTCATCCCTCACATGTTGTCCACAAATTAGTTGGTGCAACACAGACTGAAAACATTTGAGGACTCTCATAAGCACTCAAATATATGACTAGCAAGACCGATGCAGTCTTCTAGGTGTAAGCTGCAATTGTAATGTATTTCTTCTAGAAGAATATACTAAAAGGATATATTTTTTTTCCTTATTGTAACGCATTCCTGAAGGAAGTGAAGGTGCCTTGGGCCTTCACTTTTATACCATCACCAGATATTCAAAAACTGCAGCTTCAAAATCATAGCTTTTCTGTATAGCTGAGCTATATTTGTTTAACACTTTGCTTTGGCATATGTGCAGAAATGTTTCACAGTAAAGCTACCACTCATGAGGCTTCACCTGCTTCCAAAGAAGCCTTTGGCAAAGCTCACACTGAACTCAGGATCTGGATTTCACTGGGCCCATGTTGGACTTACTTATGCTTACAGGTAACGGCTTTTCTGTTTCTGCAGCTTATTTTTTGCATTTGTCAGTGAAAGGTGAAAAGGTTATCTAAGTTAAAGAATAATGCAATTAGTTCAATCAATGAGATAATCCTGTTGCCCTTTTTTTTTCTTCTTCTTCTTCCTTACTTTGGACTTCTGGGTGAAATCAGGCAATAACTTGTGAGCCTTTAGTGCTCTCAGTACTGGCTCAAAATCAGAACAAAACCAACCTGCTTCTAGTTTAATAGCACAGTCTTGATTCAAATAAAGCCTTAAGAATGATTTAAAGCCTCTTCAGTGGTTTATGTTTGTACTGAAAAGATCCATCCTTCACCAAATATCCTTTGCACCATTCTAGTTTTATAGGATACCAAGCATCTCTCACCTGAGCCCACATCAGAGTCAAAAACTGAAGTGTCCCCTACCAGATAATGCTCCCCGCTGCCCTAAACGCATGGGTAGCTGCAAAAGCCAAGTTTTATAGTCTTCTCACTGCCCATTTCTCTACTCTCTGTCTCTCCACTCACTGGTGAATAAACAAAACATTAAAAAGTAGTTAGCTAGAGCAAAATACTACAGTTAAGAGGAATAGCATAAGTATGTGCAAGGGAAAGTCCAGATGGCCTCAAGCACTCCACTTGCAAAAATCACTGAGAGAATTTGCTAAACAGCTTGAGGTGTGTAAACTCCTTAAGCTGGTTTGCTTTGGTGCTTATGATGCCTAATTGCTCGAAATCCCTCAAAGAAACAAAAATAAATACCTTGGCACTGAAAAAAATGACACTGAAATAAGCTGACACCTATGGAATTAGGCAACTGAGGGTCTCTCATTATACTCAAATTTTATAGGCAGATCTGTACTGATTGCCTGAACTATCACTTTACTCCTTGCTGACAAAATCTTTTTAAAGAGAGCATGTCAAGAAACCATATGGAAATAAGCACCACTACTCTAACAGAAGGGAATCAAAGAGATATCATCAATATTCACCTTTCTCAATTCTACTAGACAAACAAAGTATTTTGGAAAATAACATTTTCTTCCCGGATTTCCACTACATTTTACCTCAAGTTAACACGTCAGGACAACAGGCCTGTTACGCTCCTGCAGTTTTGTGAGCTGCCAAACAGATGTCTACTAAGGCATGTATGGGCATTACGTAGCACCCCACTCCGACCCCAGGACAGCTCCAATCACTGACTCCACTGAAGCCAATGGCTACATGCTGGGGCACGTTGGGTCTTTGCCACCAGCAAGCTGGGAAGGGAGGCACAGCAGCCACGGCCACTTCGATCTGCCTCCCGCGGAGCCTTGTTCCACATGTCAAAATGTCACATGCTGCTCTTATCCCTGTGCTAGAAATTTCCATTTGCTTATGTCCTCTTGTACAAAAAACACTATGAAACCACCTAGCTCTGATTTAGGATAACTTGTGCTGGACAGCACTTGTATGGCTTGTGAAATGAAGACGACCACCAGTATTACATTTGGCATGGATGAAAAATCAGCTGAGGCATCATGGTGCATCTAGAGAGTTATTACAAAGCAGGTGGCTACTATGCAAATAGTAATACCTAGTTAGTATAAGAGGGCGAGTATCAGAGTGTATTGACATAAGCAAATAAATGAATCATTTTCTTTTAGTCTGTAGGATTTTGTTTTGGTGGGGAACACCTGCAAAACTGAGGCAACTCTTTTACTTCTGAATTTGCCAAAAGGCAATGAAGAGCATAAAAAATGATTCCACTGTGCAGATATTTGTATTGAATGAACTGTTTCCTTTCCATATTCCAGACTTCATCAAGGACATTTAGCAGCCATACATCGTTCAATTAAAAAAAGGACAATCTGGCTTCTACTGACAAGCAAAGACTGTATAGTGACAGAAAATCTTAGGAAAGAATCATCCTTCTGAAATAAATCACTGCCTAAAATATTTTTGGGGAGGGAAAAAACCTAGTGACTGATCCATTTAATGAGAGAGCTGTGATATTGCTCAACAGTTTTCACTTCATATATTCCTATCTATCAGTGTAAAGGGTAGACAGAAGAATGACTACCACCACCACTCAGCAAGAGTCTGTAATCTTCCTCCTTCCCTTGCCACATGCAGGAACAAAGCAGAAGAAAAGCTCTGTGCAACCGAAGTGCTAAAAAAAAGCTTCAGACCAGCTGACATGTGGAGGTTGCAGTCCAAGTGCACGCAGCCAACATCTCCACACTGCTTGGTGAGAAGGTAGAAACTGGAGACGTGAATAACCAACAGGCCAGCAACAGCAAAGCAGAAGCAGCCTGCTCGCGTGCAGCCCGGACAATCCCAGCGCTGCGCAGGGGAGCTGGAAGCCAGCTGTGCTCTTTTCAGTTCCTGTGCCTGCAATTAGGCCATTTCATTGTCTCTCCTCACTGCAAAATTCCGTTGGAAAGCAAATGTCAGCCCACAAACTCAGCCAACCCACATCGCCTGAGGAGAAGACACCCCTGACATTTTGTCAGGGTCATATTCTTACTGTTTGGCTATTTATCCTCCAGTAAAGAAAAAGGATCTCACCGTGAGAGCAAGCTGCACTGGCTGGGAGTTTTCCTTGCTAAGAGCAACACTGAGTGCCTCTAAACACCCTGTTCTCAGCCTCCCTCAGCAGAGCTGATACATCCTCTCTGATCAAGGACAGCTTGTGTGCCCCCTCGGCAGGTAACTTATGGCTGCTCCAGTGCGGTGGGACCACAGCCATGTCCTGTGTCCTGCTCTGAGTATTAACTCCTGGCATCTACACCGTGTGCCAATGCACATGCGCTGAGTGTGACACACACACAACAAGTTCCCCTTTTAGATCTCCTCACCTCTAGGCCTGGGCCTTTTGCACTTTATTGAAATATCTCTGTCAACTCCCTGATCTTCTATGTCAGCTCCAGCTCCTCAGCTTGGCCTGAGATCCCTCAGTGAAATACATCTGATGCTTGGAACAAGAGAGAAACTGCAGCTGGGCAGACATTTCGTGACAGGGCCTTCCACTTAATGAAGCCCTGCTAAAAGACACATTCTTGGACTATCTCTGAGGTGTCCTCCCATTCACCATATAACCTCCTCTGCATTGGCTCCCCTGTTGCACAACCCAATGTGCTTTGTAATTTATAGACCACCTATCATCTTCTGCAGGGAAGGAGCATTCAAAGATGTTTTTCCTGTCTTTCTTAACTCATGCTTCCACATCTATGCAGTTTGAACTAATTATCCCTATGGTATTTTGCAATTTGCATTTAATTTGAATAATTTTATATGGTCTATTTATTTACTTTGACTCTTTCCTGAAGTGGATATATTGGTCTGACGGGGAACAACAGCAACTGACAGCCTTTGTGTCAGGTTCCTTTAATTCTGAAGAGACTTCTCATCCTTTGTTGTCTGTTGCCATTTCGGGGGTAATTTAAAAACAACAGGTAACAATTAAACTCTAAGATCTCATTAATACCTACGAAGCCCTTTCTACAAGGAGCACCAAGGGTGATAGGCAAATGTGCCAAAGTTGCTTTAATTTACATTACCACTGGCATTTTTTCAATCATACACATAGATTCTTTTTTATTTCTATGCTGTATTTACTTTATGCTTCACATAATATCTCCTCTCCTTGTAAAAACACTGTCATAATCTAGCAGTAGCATTTCTAATGATGCAAGTTTATTTTTCAATTCTGGATTATGCCTACCTTCAATAAACAACTTGGTAAATTATATCCTATTCGTCTTTGTAGCAAATTAAACCTTTTACACTAAAACAACACATCATGAACTGCATATCAAGTGAAGTTGGGTCAGTGGCTACTTAGACAAGAAAGAATTTCACAAGTAATTCAGGGAATATTGCTGGAGTAATTACCATTTTTTAAGTAAAAGTCTCACACACACAAACTGCTTACCTCTCCTTGCCAGACAGGGTTAACAGTATTACACATGATTTTGGATCTCTTCTCCTGTCCATGATGAGGAAGTGCTGGGAAGATGCTATGTTTTCCAGGCTGGATGGAAATCTTCAGATAAGGATCTGGATTGAAAAACATCCCTTTCTTCAGACCAAAAGCCTGGAAATCTGAAAGAATGTAAATATTTTGATTATTTCTCACAGTTCTGTTAGCCATCCAGAAGATGAGGAGAACTAGAAACAGAATTGGTGAGGAATTCAAATAACATGCTGGGAATACAAACCCCTCATGGAAAAGCCCTCATGTTTCTTGTGAGGCACTCTAAAGCCAAACCATAATAATATAGTAATATAGAATTTCCAAAGCATTATATAATGGAAGTTGCAAATTTTACAACCTGATTGTGCAGGGAATTATGGCTTCTGCATCAACATTTATACAACTAAATAAAAGTGATTTGCTGATTTGTCTAAGGAGCTGAGCACTTGTTCAACCTGACTCCAGTGACAGCATTGCTCTAAAAAAGAGATCGATTCATTCTTTATTTCACACAGGGCTAAAAGCACTACTGTGCATTCACACTACTTGCTTTCTCTCTGTCTTGAAGACCCACAAAACGATAGGCAATACAATGTTTTCAAAACTGCTTAGATGTACTCCTAAATATACAAGTTAAATAAGTAATTTTATTTTTTTTTAGGGCGATTTCAAAACATTAGTTGCCACAGGACTTCCATTCTCCTTTAACTGATGGAAAGCAATTGTCCTAGCGGGTTACAGGAGACTATATGAAACCCTCTAGGAAGATATTCTGGATGAAACGCATAGAATTTCCAAATCAACTTCATTTTTTTTTTCAGAAAACAGCTGATCTGGGCAAAGACACATCAAGTTGTATTTTGCTTCCTTAACTTACGATAAGATCCATAAAATGTACAGGCTAAAAAGCAATTGGTTTTGTTCTGGGCATTCTAGTTGACTTTAATCATATATTCCAGCCTGCAATTCCTATGGCAGAGACTTCAAGGGTATGGGAGAGATGGGCCTGGAACAGACTGTATTTTTAGGGACACTTTCATGCATCTCTGTGACAGTAACAATTAATAAAAATAGTGAATATCACTATTTATGGTTCATCTGAAAGTACCTCACTGACAAAACAAACTGCCATGGTCCCAGCAACAGCATTATACAGAGAGAAGGATCTGGTTCGAACTGATAACACAGATTTGTTTTCTGAGTGGGCAATTTCTGTGCAGCCAACATATACCTCATCTACCAGCCCCGCTGAAATCCTTTGCGGCCAACTGTGTTGCAGAGGAGTTGTACTGCTAGAAGAGCATGCCAGAAACTGGGAACCAAGACTGCACGAGAACCATGAACAACACGGCCCCGACAGCCTGACAGAGGAAGGCTATTAACACATGAGAGGAGAGAAATACCTCTGGGATCTCAGCTGCTTCTTCTCTGATGTCTCCTCAAAAGATTCTCAAACTGAAATATTTATTGCTATATATGTTTCTAATTTTTTTCCTTCAAAGAGGAACCGTATTATCTTTGTGTGATGCTATGCAGAGAAATAGGCTACTGATAGAAATTAAGATTACTAGCACTTTATTATACACACATATATGTTCTGTGTATTGTAAAGAATATATGTATATATTCCTCATAAGCTGGTAATTAGGAAGACCTACCAACCTTTTTCTACTTGTCAGAATTAATCAATCACAGGCATGAAGTTGAATGTACTCCTAACCTTAATTAGCACTCTAATTTTGGTATTTAGATGAGAGAGATGATTTAGCCAAGCACACAATAGGAAATTTCTATGTCATTTTCTTGCTAAAATAGCATAATACACTAAACTACATGAAAATGTTATTATAGGAAAAATAAAAGGCCCTTAAATTTTCAGGTGTTTCCTGGTACACTGTTGGCACTGCTGGGTTCCCTAGTAAGATCCCAATAGAAGGATAATAATGTCACCCATTCTGCTTCCCCATATGAAAATACTCCTCTCTCATCTTCATTATCTTCACTAAAAGGCTCTGAAAACACACAGTATTCAGAAGTGACAGTTTAGGATTAACTGAGTCTAAATCTTTGGACAAACCAATGAAGACCAAGATTCATCTTACTGTACTGTGCAGTGTCTATTTCATGAAAGCATATGAGGAAAAGTTACCAACATAATTCATAATTTATCTGTGCTTTCCAAAGGTACATTTTCATCCAGGCTACTTAAAAAGTTATTAATATACCATATGCCAATTTCCCAGCTACTCATAAATTACCCTTCTGTCTGAAAGGGGTTAGACAGCTCAATATGTTTGATAATGTCAGGCGATCTCTCATGAAAATGACCGAAGGAAGGAACCCAGATGGAGCCTCAGCGACCAGCAGCTCTTTCACTTCTGCGGATGTTCAGCAACTGCAAGCGACGCAGCTCTAGAACAGCCAGGCTCACTGCACTCTCTGCCAATCTGCTATCACCAAGTGAATTATCAGTTTGTTCCAACTTGAGGGCTTCTGTTTGAGACATGCAGCTCTTTTGAGCGACTGGGCGAGATATAGGAAACCTATGCTCAGGCTCACTTGCATGGATGTAGCTTCTGTCCTTACGCTGGCCACAGACTCCCTGTCTGTGTTGCAAAGGACCATTCTGCAAATTCTTCCATATAGCATCACAAACTCTGTGGCACTGCCGAGTGATTAGTGACAAAGACCATTAGTGGGATGTCTGGAAACGCTTGCATTTTTCATGGTAAAACACGGAACTGGGCGGGGGTATTAATTCCTTCTGATAGATGCAACTCGAACACATTTGTGTTTACATGGTTTCAGTCTGCCTCAATACAAGCCATTGAGGGCAGAGCAGCAACATGATCTGGGCATAAGGGTCACATTTTGTCTTGTACAGCAAGGAGATTCTGAAATGGTAAAGTTCCGCAAAACCATGAAGGATGTTCCAGGTTCCTCTGAAGGTAGTAGAGAGAGAGCATCAGACTCATGCTTGTAGAAGCAGGACAGAAAAGCACAGAAAAATGAGGGTGATTAACAGTTTCTGGAGCAATCTGTTTTCTAAACAAATTATGGCTGGTTTGATCACCACTTTGCGAGTAATAAGTTAAAGAAGTTGGAAGCTGCTCCCGCAAAAGATGAGTAGGTTTCCCCAACAGCCACGGAAGAACTTTCTTAGAAATAATACAGAAAAGTATCCTGCCCAGTTTATAAATGTGTCTCAAGAATAGTCTGTCCACCGGGTCTCTTGATGGTGTAAATTTTACTTTACTGAAGACAGCATTTGCAAACCAGCATAAGGGTCAAAGGCCACTGAAGAACAGAGGTATTGCAGAAGCTGATATTAATATTCTAATACAGTGGGCAGATTCCTTCCAACCAAGAACAGAATGTCCTTCATGTCTCCAAGCACCATCCAAGTGACTACAATACTCTTGCAAGAGCATCTCTACTGATGCTTCTGGGAGAGATCATAAAGCTCCAGCTATTCTACAGTCAACTCACTACATCATTGACATTTTTCTTACTTAGAGTACCAGCCGTAGGTACTCAGTCTTCCCAGACCCAGGAAATGATACATATTGCTCATGAGTCATTTGAGCCTCCTAGAAGATGAAGACATCTTTGGAGTAAGTCAAATGGGTCCAGAACATGCACTGTATCCAAAAACATACCAAATGAAGTACTGCAAAGTTGCTAAAGCACTGAAAAGACCAAAGGGACACTGGAATGACCACAGTCAAATTCAGACTGCAATTTAATTTGGTGAACACCCACACGGATTTTATTATCTCCATAGTCTGCTCATTAATGGCAAAAAGAAAAATTATGCATTATGATCTGAGATCCTGATAGTGCACATATCAAGGCACAACGAACCGTCTTCATGAGCCATCATCACAAAAGAAGAGCCTCTAATTAAGATATCAATGGACAGATCAAACATTTCCCATCAGTTTTCCGTTGCGAATTCTCAAAGAGCTGTTAACTCAGGTTCTGACACCTAAAAATGTACTTGAACAGAATTGGTGTCTGGGTTGACTATCAATGAGGTGATGCGGTCGGCAGGGCACTCATATGTGTGTGCTTCTTTTGTCACAAGAGTGCCTTGTGCAGAGCGTGACCAGAGCCCGGGTGACCTATTTCAGAGGGCAACAATCCATATACTGAGCTGAGCTGCACAAGGCCTAGCGGTGGTTGCACAGCAGGGGACACTAAAGTCCTGCTGGTTCAAGATTCAAAAGGAGGCATGTAAGTACTGCCTCTGCTAGGCTCAAAAAGTAATGGAGATGACTGCAGCTACCAGAAGTGCAATGATGTTTTAACAGGAGGAGATAGCAATATTGAACTGGCTTGGAAATGCCACCATGACTCATACAGCAGTTGTTCATACCTGATTCTGGAACTCATAGTAAAGAAAGCGAGCACAGATTTGGCAGTGTTGCATCTGGCTGAGATTTCAAGAGAACAAGTATTATGGAATTTTTAGAAATCAACCCACTAAAAATCAACCCACTAATGTGTAGGGTTTGGAGTATTAAAATTCAATATGGCAAAATAATGAAGGGGATTAGGGACAGGTACTGCATAGTGTGCAATAGATAACTGACTTCTTCAGCTACTGAATGAGGCTTGTAACCAGCAACATGCCAGAGCTTAAATCAGATATCTACAGTGGTCTTTTCTCAAAAATCTATTAATAAACTCCAGTTCTCTTGAACAGAAAAATAATCCATTAAGTAAGAGTTGGCCAGTGTAGCTGAACAAGGAGGTGCTGAAAGACTTATAGAAGAACATAAAACACTTCTCAGGTTCACAATGAGGCTCCCAGACAAAATCTTAAAGATGTGGGGAAAAAAAGGAGAAAAGTGTTTTTTTTTTTATTTGTTTTTGTATTCTTCCTCAAACTGGAAATTCTAAGGGAATACAAGAGGAATTCTCATTTGTATGAAGAAAGGGCACAACAAGCATGAGGAAGAAAATAGGTCTATTAATACATTAACGGGTATGAAGAAATTATTTATTCAAATAAAATACTTTTTATTATTATTATCTTCACTGAGAAGAAAAATATAGCAGAAGTTTGAACTGCCATTGGGAACAGTTTTAACAAGGAAGAGGGAGTAGTTGCTCACTGGAGCGAAGTCCCATCTTTTGTTATCCTCAGACAGACGACGAGCCTTGAGTCTTTCTGAAGGATATGACTGAGCCAAACACAAGCTGTTGAGCTCTCCACCATGGATCAAGCTGCCTCTGTTACACAGAGTTGCACTAGTTGAACTCCGAACCTTCTTAGGCCTTTCAATCTGTTATCTTAGAGCACCACAGTATTTTGCATGCACAGGTATACTGGAGAAAGGCAGCTCATCCTAACACACTCTAAAAGAGTATGAAAAATTGAAGCCATTGGCAATTCAGGTTTATGAAGTATACAGCCAGGCAGATCAGCTTGATTCGCGGAGGGTAAAAGAAGGAGTAGGTTCACAGCAGTAATTTAAAACAATAGTGGCCAGAGGCTGAGCTATAAATTCAGACATCCACCTCCAGTTAGAAAATTGGTCACTGTAATTTCAAAAAGTGGTTTGAAGATACTGTCTGTTATAGATGTGGATTTTGGTCAAGCACTTTGCAGGGTCAAAAGCACATTTATGGGACCTATTACCATCTTCAGTTGTGATTTAGACACTGACTTTAGAAAGTGAAAGGTGATTCTACCTGAACATCTGGTCAAAAAGTTACATAAAAAGAGGATAATAAAGCTTTCAAAACGGTGTGATAAGGATGATTTTCTGCTCTTTTGGTCATCTGTGCCACAAGAACACTTGTAAATAAAGGAGGTGCAAATACATAAAATGTGTGAAACATTAAAGCTCGAGAAAAGTTATTTAACACAATATATAGCTTCTTACAAGGATCAGTGGAGTGAAACTGTGAAAGGACAAATGCAGGAAGCATGTCATGCAGAACTCATGATAAAATTTTGTATCTACATTAGCCAAAAGAATGAGTTCAAGGACTTTCAGCAAATGTATTTTATTGGTGCTAAACGATAACCTTTCAGTGAAGTGAAGTGGCTGGTACACTTAGTGGCAGGAACCTTAGCACATTTCTTCTTTCTGTATTTCATGCAAGAGAGCTCTGACACTTTCAGTCACCTTGTCCAAAGCATGACATTTAACGGCAACAGCAGCAAAAAGTCATGTGGGAAAGTAAATGACAAGTAGCTGTATAGTTTGCTTTAAAGCCTATATTAAACCTAACTAAATTAGGCTTATAATATTTCTTCTCCCATTTTAAATAATGAAAGCTCTAATAATACAGTCATCATATAAAAGATTAAGAAGCCTAATCATGGGGAAATTATCTTCTTTGCAATCAGTGTTCTTAATGAACCTATTAATCTGAACTAACCTTTCACAGGACCAACTTCCAGTCCCCTAAGAAGCAAATACTCAGAAAACAAATCTCCTCCAAAGTAATAAAAACTCTCATCTTTCTGTTCTCAAGAAGTTAGTCATTTCCTTTTGCCCTGAAGCATTGATTTATGCTTTTTTTGTTGTTTGGTTAACATTTTTATCCAATCTAGCAATCTTTCCTCAGGCAAAACTTCCAATGAAACCAGTATGACATTGTCCAAGCCAATTCTGAAAAGCAAACCAAAACCCTACAGAAGGAACAAACAGTTCTGCACAAACATCTACAGAGAAACTCTTTTCAAAACTGGGTCTCACTGGAATGCATAGGCAAGTAGAGCAAAGAAGATCATGGCCTGGTCTTTTTTGCAGTTTGAGGAATTTGGCCTACCCCTGGACTTTCTTCTCCCATTCTATCAACTTTGTCTCTTATAACATTAATATAATAAAAAGCATAGCTCTCCTTGCATTCTTTAGATGAAATACTGTTTGGGGCAGCATGGCTCTGTTGGTGCAATACCCAGTTGTCTCCAGGTAAGGGCTAATGGCCTTAAACTTAGTTAAAATCAAAAACAAACAGACAACAACAAAAATTCCTTAATTTGGGGACAAAAATTTAATTAATGACAGCGACAGTGCAAGTATACTAATATGTAAGGACAGAAAGCGAGGAGTGGTCTACTTGTGACACTCTGAATTTTATTAGCTGGTATAACAGACACAAGGAATAGCTGTAATTTGACAACTTTTTTTTTATTGATTAGATAAGAAGATAATAAAAACATCCTTGGGATGTGTTAACCTGTTTAACTGAAATGTCTTAAGTTTAGGCTCTCAGGAAAAAAGACTCGAGTTGGGTTCTTTTGGAACCAAAGATTTTTGATAAAATAACTCTGTCCAAGGCTCTACATATATCTGGCTATAACCATTCTGTTAATATGGATGTGATACAAATGTAAATGAATTGCTGTTTAACCACTAGAATAAGATATCCCCAATGTACTATGTGTCATGGCCCTTATGTACTTTGAATTAAGCTGTAAATTAGATGGTTTGGTTTTATAAAAGGTCACATTGAGGTACTACTCTTTAGAAGTCTCACAAATTATAACTCTTAACATGTCTTGCACTACTAGGCTAAAGAATTAGAAAGAATGGGAAAGTGATACAAATTCTGTTCAATATTTTTGTCATAATTAAGCATTGCATTTAAGATTTTTTATTTTTATATTAATTCTACTCCTTTATTCCTGTGGAGCTAAATCTGTGGGTTTTTTTTTTTAACACATCAGTGTGCATGATTGGATGCCCAACATCCCACATAGCAAAAATAACTGCTGTGTTCAAAGGGCCCCATCTAACCTCAGTCCAACCTGCCATACAGCATATATAACCTCTATAAAACCACAGTGGGGCATCTATTTTGAAAAAACATTAACATGCAGGTTTCACAGGAAAGATGCACAAAGCTGACCTCAACAGAAGTTAGAAGAAAGCTTAAAATAATCATATTGCCAATGCAATCTTATAAATGTGATGCTTGTCTGAGTGTAGGTCTTTTTACAGTCTGTGAATGTAAAAATTCCAAACTGAGATAACTGAAATATATCAAAAACATTCTCTTTCCCCTATACTGCTTTCCCAAGGAATTTCCACATCTAGTTGAGCACCTTAGTCCTTGTCTTCCAGGTGCTAAAAGCACGGAAAACACACAGGTAGTACAAAACTCCAAAACGAGAACCTTGCTCCTAATAATGCTCTTTTGACAAACTGAATTTTGTATAGTGGTGATTTCCATGTTGTTGTCACCAAGGCTAGACCGAATAGTCCACAGTTGCTTCATGGAACCATTTTAAGCCTTTAAAGTCGGTAATGAGGCCGAGTAATGAGGGTGAATAATGGCCTTCTGAAAATTTAGAGGATTAAGAGTGGTCTATGGGCTTGAAAACCCTGACAGTCACAGCTAAAAAATAAAAACAAACTTGCATTTAGGGAATGCGCATCTGTCTCACGTCCAGACTAAAACTGTGAAAAGTCTTCTCCAAGAAACAGAGGACTGCCACAAATCAGCCACCTTATGCGCCATAAGCAAAGTGCATGTCTTTGATCTTGCTTTCTCTGATCTAAATACACAGCATCACATTTAACCATAAACAGAAAGATCTTTGCCTAACGTAAATCTGGCCCCAAACTCTATTTGGGTAAGGTGCTTCAGCACATAACATTTCCTCCTGAAGGAAGAGGTTGGGGCAATAATCATAGGACACATATTAGTTCTCTATCTCAACGCCACTGCTAGAGCAACAGTCATAAAAGGATGCATGTACATGTATGTACACATACGTGCATATAGTGTATATATGTAAATAGAAGGGTTTTAATAGTTTGTCTCCTGCTGCCTAGACTTTAAACCTTCACATCAACACTGACTTACCTGACAGTGAAAAACTGATCAGTCTCCGACTTCCTTGTCCCTGGATTGATTCTTCATTGGTGATGCTTTTAAAAATCTGCTGGAAGAAGAATAATGGTCAGAGAGAGTCCTTGAACGAAGACTCTCTTTTTTACAGAGTAGTCAAAAAAGAATCTATCAGAGGACTATTAACCAACACCACATTTTTATCCAGGGAATGATTTAGGCCACTGGTAGCCTAAGTGAGACCGTCTTGCAAGAATTTATTTGGGAAAATACGATGACTGAAAAATACTTATGCAGTTTTAAATATAGCAATTCCACACCCAAACAGGAGCTATTTATTAAGCAAGGGATGGAGGTAGCATGTAAGGATGGGGATATGGCTCTCGCCTCTAATAATAATTGCTACTAGTAGAGTAGAAAATCTGGTTCCAGGAAATGTGCTGCGTGTGTGTGAGAAACACAGATCGGAGAACTTACTAATACCCTCTGCAAACTGCAAGGATGAATGATGCTAATAACAAATACTGAGGGTGAATCTGAAAAGTAACAGAACAGTTGAGGTTGGAAGGGACCTGGTTGCATCCAGGAGGATTTGGAAGATCTCTAGAGGAGACTCCACAACCTCTCTGGGCAGCCTATTCCAGGGTTCTGTCACCTTCACAGCAAATAAGTTCTTCCTTATATGGAACTGGAACTTTCTGTGTTTCAATTTGTACCCTTTACCCCTTATATCAAAAGGCGGTCCTTATACTCGCTCTAAAGATGGGGGTCAGGCCCACTCTGTGGGTTTTAACGAGAAGCTTCATCTTAACGGGTGTCTTGATGGGCTGCAGTTGCTGGGTGCGAATTAGCACCCAGGCTATTTGCAGTGCCCCCTGTCCCAGTGAAGACCCCGGGTCCCCAAGGGCCTGCCAAGGCCCCGGTGTGGGGCCCTGGGAGGCGCTCGCAGCAGCGGCAGCGGAGGGAGCGCGTCGTTAGCTGCAGCTTCCCTCAGTGCTGCCACGGAGGCGCCGCCGGAGCAGTGGGCCGCGCTCCAGCCACAGAGCTGGAGCTGCTCTGCTCTGGGGGGGCCGCAGCGCCTCACCGGTTTGGCTGTTCGGTTTTCAGACAAAAAAGCACACTTGGGCAGCAAAGCTCCACTTTCTGCCAGGCAAACATAACTAACGTCCCACTCAGGCGTGACTCATTGCTCATAATGTTAAATATTGTGCATTAAAGCCTAACTTAGGAAAATGGCTCTTCCTTGCCACAGAGAGTTCCAAACCTGGAGTAACCTAGTTAGATGGATTTAAAAACAAGCAGGGTGGATTTGGATGCCATTTAAAAAATGGCCTCTGCTGGACTTGACTTTTCATCAACATCAGTTTGTTTCTCACAGATTATTTAAATGGGAAAAGGGCTACTGAAGAGAGTGGCATCAAGAACAAACACCCTCTTAAATCACAACTAATTAATTGCAATTACAATTTGGGACTTCTCAATTAACCAGATTTCAATGTATTCAATAAAGTCACCACTGATTTCTGAAAAGAGTTGACATCAGAATATTATATGTGTGGAGATCTGTAGTGCAAATCTTTGAGATTTGTAGCGCATTCCATAAATATCATGATAAGAACCCAGTTACCTTTTCTCACCCAAAGCCACAATCTCACCAAGAAATGGTACAAATTTCCTCATAAAAACATACTTTTCACACTACTACGCTAACTGACATTCTCCTTTTGTACTTACTACTCTTGAGCTTGTCGTGATTTTGTCCAGGACAATGACTGGGCCAAATGATCTCATATGCACGTATGTCTAAATATGCTGTTTTTTTTCAGTCCTTAAACGTTTTTCCAGGGTTCCTATTTCTAACACTAGTCAATACTAATAGCTAACAGCAGATGTTTTCAACAGACTGGGGTGCAACTGATGGGTTCTGCAAACCTCAACATGTGGGATGAGGCTGCTGTGTACATCTGTACCTAGGGGCTAAGAAGAGCTCCTGGTTTTCGCCATTGAGACACAGCATCCATGAATTACGTCAGACTCAGTTCTTAAATGATTTGGGTGTTTATGAATATTCCCTCTGTCTTTCAATGGGAAACAGCTCTGACATGATTTGATGCTTCTGAAATTTTGACCTCATTTTCCTAATCCTAATTTTCTGTATTTTCCTAATTTTCCTAATCCTAATTTTCTGTATTCCAAGAACTAATGTCAGCAACTTTCCTAGTTGTAGAGCAGGCATTGTGCAGACCTTTGGGTGCCTTAAACTGGCTTTCTGCTACCTGCTCTTCCCTGCAAGCTCTCCTTGAACCGCTGGCTTCCCCCTCTGCGCTGTGGCTGTTCTTCAATGTGCTTATGGAGCAGCGATCCACAAACCCAGGAGAAACCTCGCTTTTCTCTAGCAAGTCCACCTCACCGCCTTGTCTCTAAAGAATATAGCACAACTGTGAACAAAAAGTAACAACAGCAGCAGATACTGCCAATCCCTGCTCTACATTTGTTTTTAAAATGCCAGGGATTCCTACCCACAGAAATCAAGTTACTACAAACCCCTCCATAACATTGACTCTAAGTGAGGATAAAATAGAGCTGATTATCACCTACAGATATCATGCTTTCTGGCACTTTCTAATTAAAAAAGAACCCACAAGGAAAACAATATCTGATCTTTTCCAACTGTGCTCTATTTCAATATATCATGGCACACGAGATATGCACGAAACATACAGCATTTCCTGTCATCTAGCTCATACTTTAGAAGGATTTTAGAAGGATTTTTTCAAAGGTCAGGAAAGGTCAAGCATTATCATGAGGACAAGCCGAGCCTTATAAGCATCTCCTGATATGAGGAATTCAGCAGCTAGAATACTCCCACGGATATTGGTGCGATGAGTCAAGCACACAGCTGCCAGCAGCAGCCGACTCCTGCTTTATCAGCAGTGTCTGAAGCTGCAGTATGCAAGCAGGACTGAAAAGGAGCACTGCCTAGCTCAATTACACACTCTTTAGCTCACCCCAGAACAGCTTCCTGAGACACAATATGTTGTTCGTTTTGGTAATGTTTACCATTTAACCTTCATAACTTTAAACACACCTGAACACTCTTTTGAAATATTTCCAATTTTACCACAGCCTGGAGGAAAGCAAAGGAAAAAAATACAAAGGAAAGCAATGTAGTGAAGTTGGTGGGGACGGAGGCACACACCAAGAGAATCACTAGGTCATTAAAGACTTCAGCATGTGAACATCAAGTCCCCTCCCTGTCCTCTCCTTCCCACCCCATTTCCCCAAACCAAGATCCTAGTTGTAATACTTCCTAAACGCCTCATACCTCATCTGCATGGCCCCGTACACAGGTCTACCAACCCGAACCTATATATATATATGATTTTCTCCAGTATTCCAGCTACGAACTAACATGTCCTCCAGCTCTGATCCTTGGCTACCACACATAGTAACGGTGGCAATGGGTCCACCTTCGCTCCTGAAATACAGACCCCAGGAATGAAAAAAAGGAATGCCTCCGATGTTGCACAGCACGTGCCAGAGTGGGTTCAACAACAGAACCACGTCCTTTCTCAAAGGAAGAAATTATTATACCTGGGTATCATGAAAGTTGGGACAGTAATTTTACTTTAATATTGATGTTTCAAGAGCTGGGGAGGGAGGACAGATACAGCAATAGTGTGGCTTGATTTAGCTCACTATGTGAAAAAAGCTGAGTACGCAAATGTTTTCTCCGCAGTTTTTTGACAAGACAAGGTCATTTTGTTTGCACTTCTGTCTAGTGAAGGTAAGACTTTCAGGATGAAAGCAAACAGCTCAGGAACATTAAAAACAATGAAAAAAGTCTCTCAGTGTAAGCCCAAGCTTGCAGGTTAAAAAGAAAAAACTACTTGCTTCTGCTCAGATTCACCACTTTCTAATACAATAGACATATTCTATACAGTAGTGAGGAACAGGCTAAAGCATTCTGTATGGTGCAGGATAAAGCTGAGTACATGCTCCCTACTTATCACTAAAACTGCCCTCGCTGGGCTTTAGAGAATTTTGCAGCTTGAGATGAAAAGGTGCACGAGTCATGGTCCTCCTTCTTGTCATTCACAGTAGAAGAAATCCAGACTGATTCTGTGACGGCAATGCAATTACATCTGCAATTTGTTATTGCAATTTGAATTTGGTCATAGGGAGGTGAAAAGATCTCCACTGTCAGTTAAAATCTAGATAGACAACAGAAAAATAATATTCATTTCATCACTTGTTATTTCTAGATTGATGTCTTTGGATGAAAATGATGAAATGTAATTCGCTCTCTACAACTTCAGTCTTCCTTATATCTTGGAAATAAGAGCTCATACTAAATTACTTTTTTTTTTTTTAATGTGAGGGACTTCAGATGCAAATTTAAGCCTACATGAATTTCTCAGATTACACATCTCCTAACTACGTTCAAATCTTTCATTCTCCTTGCTTAATGAGAACTGTCACTGCCATGATAGGAACATGTGCACTCAAACAGTTAAAGGAAGTATCAGTACTTATTCTTAAATATTCTCCAGGACACACACCCTAAACAACCTTTTCTACTGGTCTACTGTAGGCTTTCCCAACCTTTGAAGTATACACCACTAGCAATCTCCAGAGCATCTCATGGCTTAGCTGTAAAATCTGCTGAGATACCTGAGGCCAGATCCAAGCCCCTCAGGACTTGCTCGGTTCTGGAAAAGGTCCATGTTCGATATTGTTTTTCCTTCTTTCAGCAGAGAGAAAAAAAGAAGACGAAATGAGATGATGGAAAGCCAAAAATAATACCTCCATTTTCCTTGTGAGTAGTTCCTGTAAATGCTAGGATGATGCTATGTCACTCAGAATGCACAGGAATGTAGGCCCTGCAAATGGAGCCCCTGGGACTCCCTCTCTGCTGTGGTTTGTGTTATGGAAATAAAAACCTTCAGAAACTGCAGAGTACTACGTCCATCAGCTCTTACTGACACAAAACTCCATGTGCATCAGTGGTAATTTTTCTAGTGAGGGGCCAAGAAACTCCAAATATGTCTTTAAACACCTTTGCCTTCACTGGTCTATACAGATACATAG